CCTCCCCTCCCAGCCTCCCCTCCCAGCCTCCTCCCAGCCCCCTCCCAGCCTCCTCCCAGCCTCTGTGGCTCCACGACCAGGTGCAAGGATGGAGCAGACCTAGGGGCTGTCCCCCTCCGCACCTTCTCCACTTAGTGGAGCCGGGAAGAGGGTGTCACAAAGACCAGGGTGGGGGCAGTCACCTCGTCACCCCCTCCTTGCCAGGAGGGCCGGGCCTCCCAGAAAGAAGAATGAGCTCATTTAATCATTTCGTCTCGACGGCAGCCATGGGGGCTAAGCAACCGTCCCAGGGAAACAGCCAAAGGCACAAGGACGCGCCCTCAGCCAACAATTTCCCTCTTATTTTTCTTTCACACAGAACACATCCCCCAAGGGCATGAGTGCAGACATGTAAGGTAGAAAATACCCATAATCCCATCCCAGCTACACTCCTGTTTAGTATTTTTAAATAAAAAACCAACTCTCAGTATTTTTTAAATTTAAAGTTCCTCCTCAGAAGAAAATTCTAAGTCAAAAATGCTATTTTTGAAATCAAGTCATTCTAATATAATGATGGAAATAATTGTAAGTAGTTAATAACTAGTCATAACAACTAGTTGTCATTATAATAAGTAATTGTTTTCCAGGAGGATGGAACACGTGTAGGTCAGTCTGTCACAGAGCATTTGGCTTTAGAGAGCGGTGGGTATAGAATTGTTTCTTTTAGGAAGAAGCCAGATGCCTTGATTATCATTTAAAAATCAAGCAACGTCACTAATCTGGTCTTTTAAAAGAGACTTTGCAAAGCCACTGCACACAGGGCTGGGAGGTAAACCCCTGCGTTCTCCACTGGACCCCTGTGAAGCGGCAGCCCGACCCCGAGGCATCACCACCCCTCCGCCCGTCCGTCAGAGCCCCGCTCGCCGTGGAGCTACCTTCTCTTTTCTTGAAGGCTTCCCGGCCTCCCCGTCAGGAAAACACCCCCATTACTCCCCTTCCGGCCACTTCCCGGTAGGGAGACAAAGGCTCCGGCTTCCTGTGTCCCGCCGCCTGGCTTTGGCTGCATCGGGCTTGGTGGGAAATCCGCGAATTCGAGATTCCGTGAATTTACGGGGGAGAAGCCTGGGGAGGGCGCGGATGAGGCGGACAGCCGCGCCAAGAATGCCCTAAGGGCCTTGGTCACTTTCAAGCAGGAAGAAGCCACCTGGCCCCACGAAATGACCTTTTCTTAGAAATTTTTGGAGCCTGAAATGGGGTGGAAGAGGTGACAAAGGAGTGCGTTGTAAGGTTTATACGGATCGTCGTCTATTGTTCGTAGTAAAGGACAGCGGAGAACGAGACGGGGAGAGACAGGCGCAAAGTCTGGACACTCAGGAAAAAGCGGAGGGAGAGGGCCTGTGCCCGCGCCCAGGGGCCCCGGCGGAGCTCGGGCGCCGGAAGACCGGAGCCTGGCTCACCTGTGCGCTCACCTGTCGTGTCCAGCAGGGCCAGGGGCCCGGGCACCGGCGGCGGGAGCGGCTGCATCCCGGGGGCTGCTCCGGGGGGGGGAGGGGCTGCTTGTTCTCCCGCTGCGACAGCGACCGTGGGGCGCGGTGGCCGCGAGGACCAGATGCCCGAGCACCGCCCCTCCGGTCAGCGT